AAAGTCTAGTAGAATAAGAATTTATCTATCAGTAAAATAAGAATTTTATAAATACTCTAAGTGTAACAATCTAAGGGTGAATTTTTTCTTTAAAATTTACACTACCAAATCTTTTTGTAAACCTCACAACAACTTCTTAAGAAAATGACTCTCTACTACTAGTAAACTTTTACACCTCACCTTGTTACATCTAATCTTGCAATCTTTAAATGTTGAACAGGACAGGCTTTATGAAGTCTTGCTCAGAGATGATTCTGGCTTGGAGATCACTCAAATATGCAACATTATACTCAAGCTGCCATGAACTTGATACATAGTTCGAATCTGGATGAGAAAGGAAGAAAAAGAAAGAAAGCCCAGAGACAGAGATAGAAAGAAAGTTGAGAGCCAGTGAGATTTGAGAGAAAATATATTTTGACTTCAATAATTTTTTATGATTTCCTTCATGAATACATGCCTACATATAGGCTATAAAGACAGGAAGTTGTAACCGCCTGAAAGGCAAAATGATTCTCCCAATCTTCCTCTCATTTTCTGTTTCTCAATTTATCTATTCACCTAATCTTAACCCTAATTTCTCATAATAGAAAAGATAAAACCACCTATTTACAAACTTTAACCTTCTTACTCTGCATATTATTTACTTATTTCCTACTTTCTACTTGGTTCCTTACAATATTCACCCCTTGAACATCAACTTTGTCTCCAAGGTTGAGATCCACCTTCCAAATATCTGGTGTCGAAGACTTGGTTAACCTCTCATATATATCTGCTTGTTTATTTTTATTTTTTGTTTTTGTTTTTCTTTTTTTTACAAAGCAGTTTTCTACTGTTTCCACGTTCATTCACTCTCTTACACACAAAATTGAAGAAGAAGAACCTAGAAAACGACGCCCAGAAACCATAGGAGAGTGAAAAATGGTGCCCTATCTCGAAATTCTTCTTCAATGGTCGGATATGCACCATGCATCCCTCCTTTAATGGTTAGATTTTGTGTCACGCATTCTTTCCTCTGCAAAACGCATTTTCGATATTTTAGATAACATGTTGCCTTTTGTCCTTTCCCAAGTTGAGGCATGTCACTTTTTTCAGCTTCCACCAGAACTTGACACGGGTCCCCACTTTCTTTGGATCATTGCTACGTGTCCTGCCAATTATTTCTCACTTATGGATTTGTAGCAGCTTCACTTTTCTGCTCTTGGATGTATTTTCTTCTTGCACTTGTTTCCTTACAGAAACTCCCCATGGCCGGTGAAAGTCAGATCTTCTAACCCACATTCCCTCTGGCCGCTAGAAAATTTTGATCTAAATCGGCATAATGGGCAACACAGAAATAGCACAAAGGTCTCGCATGCCATCACCTTGACGCCCCACACCATGGTCACAGTCGTTGCCAGCCGCTCCATCTCTCGCTGCACGCAATGATGTTTTCTTCTTCCGCCTTTTCTTATTCTTTTGTTTCTTCTTCTTCTGTCGCTTTTTCTTCTGGCTTTTCTTCTTCCGCCTCTTTTTCTTCTACTTCTCCTTCCGTTTCTCCTTCCGCTTCTCCTTCTTCTGCCTCTTTTTCTTCTTCTTCAACAATAGGGACTAAATCGGTTCAGTTCAACGAACCAGTCCGATTCAAACTGAGCTCGATTTGATCCCATGTTTTTTAATCGGTTCAGTCATTGAAGTGATTTTAGGGTTTTTCCCTTTAACAGTCGGTTAATCTTTTCTTTGTTCATTTTCTTCATAGGGGAAAGTGAACTCCCTCTCTGCCCCATGCACATAGCCCCAACAGCAGCCGTTGATTTCACAGGCTCCAGAAAATGAATGTTGTCGTATAGTAACTCGACCAACTCAACTATCTGGTCTAGAATTTTATGCATCTTGTACCTTCTCATCCTAATTTTAGCCATATGCAAGTCAAAGTCAGAGGGTTTGACAACCAATCTTTTAGCAGGATCCGCCACCACTGCCTCACATAGGATCTGATAAGCGACTTCCATACTAGGTTGTCACGAATCTGATACATGGTTTGGATTTGCTAGAAAGAGGAAGAAAAAGAGAGAAAGCTAAGTGATAGAAAGAAAGCTGAAAGTCGGCGAGATAGGAGAGAAAATATATTCTGATTTCAATAATTTTGAATGATTTCCTTCCCTGAATAAATGCCTATAAATAGGCTATAAAGGCAGAATGGTCCTAATCTTCACCTCATTTTTTTTGTTTTTAAGTTTCTCCATTCACCTAATTATAACCCTATTTTCTAATAATCCAAAAGACAAAACTACCTTTGTACAAGCTTTACCTTATTTACGCTGCATATTATTCACATGTTTTCTACTCTATCCTTGGTTCTTCACACAAGCAGTCTAATATTTTTTTTTTATATGATGATGGTCTCATATGTTAAACCAGAGTGTACGAACTAATTTTCTGATTGAGACAATTGGTTAGTCTCTGTAACATATATATACAATTTCAAAGAAAAAATATAAGAGATATTCTAAGAAAAAATCTAATTAAATTAATGCATATTAGCCTAGAATTTCGGATCCTAATCAAAAAAGGAAATATGCTAGAATCAAGAAACTTCGAAAAGGCTTCCCTTAAATCTCAAATCCTTATCGCTTTCCATGAAAATCTAAAAATCCTTATCACTTTTTAACATTCCCCCACAAGCTGGTGAGTATATATCAATCATTTCCAACTTGCATAAATTTGACTCAAAACCACCTTTAAGTAGTGTTTTAGTAAGAATATTAGCTTCTTGTGATCCAATTGACACATAAGACAAATTTATCTTTCCACTTTCATCTCGTCTTGATAAAATTTCTGTCAATCCAAACATGTTTCTTACAATCATGCTATATGAGGTTGTGAATAGTAGCAATTGCAAACTTATTATCACTATAAAGCTTTATAGAACCCTCCAATGTGATATTCAAATATGACAGTAGTCTCTATAACCAAATCAACTTAAAAATATCTTGCCCAATTGCTTTATGTTCTGCTTCAACACCGTTCTAGCAACTATAGTTTGTTTTTTACTCTTCCAGGCAACAAATTTCCTCTAAACTTTTTGCAATAACCAATAACGAACTTAGTATCTTCAACTGATCATGCCCAATCAGCATCTACAGATTTCTCTATTTCTAGGTTGTTGTTCCTTCTAAATAAAAGTCCCTTTCTATGTGTACATCTCAAATACCTGATAATTTGATCTACAACATCTTGATGTCTCTTGGTAGGAGCATGCATAAATTGACTGACCATACTAACACTATAAACAATATTAAGCCTAGCAAATGAAAGATAGATCAGTTTCCCAATGAGATGTTTGCAAGAGAATTGTCCTAAGAAACCTTATGTTTCCAATTCTTTTCTAGTGGTGTGCTAGCAAGCAGACACCCAAGTTTTCTTGTTTCCTTTAATAGATCTAGGATGTATTTCCTTTGGGAAATGGAATGTCTGTCTTGCTTCTAGCTATTTCCATCTCAAGAAAATATTAAAATTTTCCAAGGTCTTTAACCTTGAATTCATACTGCAACAGTATGATCAGTCTGTCCTTGCTTAACGATATACAATCAAGATCAACTTCTTTCCATCATTAGATTGCTTAATGAATAACGATACACAGTCAAGATCAACTTCTTTCCATCATTAGATTGCTTAATGAATAAATTGCTTTCACTAGTTCGGATTTTGCTTTTCTAATAAATTGCTTAACACAAATCGTGCACTTACATAATGAGAACCATTGACAAGCTATGAAATGACGACTCTATTATTTAACCATCAATAATGAACAACTCATCAGACTGTTCAAAAAACCTACTTGCATTGTGTTTTTATATGCCAACTAGGGTAACGACCAAGAAAAATTTATGTCAACTTCAGCAAACATTATTTATCTTTGCCTCACCCCTGTCAATTGGTCCTTTAAGAAGCAACACACTATTGATTGGTCTTCAACAAAAAAGGAATATGGTGCCATTGCCACAGGTAGTGCAAAATTGACTTGGATTTAGACTCTTCTACATAATTAATTGTTACAGTTCTATGAATTCATGTCCTCCATTTTGACAATGTTGGGAGGTACTTATTTTTGCACAAATCTCATCCTTCACAATCGCATGAAACATTTACCTTTGGAATATCACTATATTCGTGGAAAGCTCCAAGATAAAAGCTCAAGCTAGGTCAAATTTAATTCAACAACCAACTTGCAAATGCTCTCACAAAGCCACAAATTGCGGCTTCAATATCCGTGGTACAAGATTGGTGTTACTAATGTAAACAGCATCTTGCAGAGGTGTAGAAGATAATACTTGATTATTTGGAATCAAGTTCATTTTATTCCCTTAATTTTGTGCATGTGTTTTCCTTCAAATACATGTTTGAATTTTAGTGTACTTATTCTCTTTATTATAAGAGCTGCACATATACTTTTTTATCTTCGTTCAGAAAAGCTAAGAAGATTCTCTACCTTTTAAAATCTCTAAAAAGAATAGGTATAACTGCATCATAATTTAATTTTTGAACCAAAGATAATCTAATTTTTAGAAATCCTACTAAAGAATTCGAGTGGGAGTAAAGATGATTCAACATAGAAAATCACAATGCAACTTTACCAATTGAGATTAGTCCACCAATGAAATTAAGCAGAAGAATTAAGAAAAAAAAAGAATTGAATGGAAATTGAATGAAGTACTAACAGGCAATCATATAATGAACAGCCAAAAATCTAGATAACTAGTCAGCAAATTTACTTGGAAGTATGTTGTAACCTCATACTTGAATAAAATTTAGGACATTCTTCATTAAAAAAATGAAATAAATCCAGTGACAGCATAATTTTACTCCATGTGATTTTCTTTTTGTTTTTTTTTTTTTTTTGGCTAGATATGATTAACAAAACAAACAAGCCCAACTGGCAAAGTAAATGTTCCTCCATCAGGTTAGCAACAAAGGATGGTTCGATTTATATTACTACACATCAGTTTCATACAGAATAATGTCTATTCAGATAATCCCTATATCATATCAATTTCATATAAAATCACATGACTACTCATGTAGAGATATGCCAATAATTGGGAGAGAACTAACCAGTCGAATGAAGCTTGCAGCTGGAATGAGTGGCTTCCAAGTCTTCTGGTAGTGCCGAATTTCTCGAAGAGCTACTGTTCCTGGCCTATAACGATGACGCTTTCTCTGTCTTCCAGGGGCTTCAAGATGTCAGAAAAGAAAGATTGAAAAGGATATACATCATCATCACATTTGCATCAGCTTAAATGACAATAAGATATAACTGACCCCAAACTCACTTTGTGAAGAATCCCTTTCAGTTGCACTGACCCTTGGTCTAGGTCTCTTCAATTTGTAAAGGAAAAAGTAAAGTGTAAAGGGATGAAATATAATGGCATTACAAAGAAAACAAAATGATGTCTATCTTTGAGATCTACTCCGTTAAAACTAACTTATAACAGTTAAAATCAAGAAAGAATTGAACCCAAAATGAAAAAAGAAAATATCTGAAATTACACATGAAATCAAATTTACAAAAATTTGTATCATCCGTCTTTCTTGAGGGAAGCCAAAAGGGCAAAAGAAAAATGGAACCTAAATTTTCATTTCCAGGTTTTCTTTTGAATTCACGCAACCTAAACAAATAGAATGTTCAACTTGCTTCTCTTTTGTAACTTATGAAAACAAAAAAAGAAAGAGAGAGAGAGAGATATTTGAACATCAAAGGCGCTTGGTTTCCTATATTTTCTCACGACCAAACATGCCAAAAGAATGATCTGGGAAAAGAAAAAACCGCAGATACTCATAAGTAAAAAGAGGGAGATACCGAGCTCGGTCCAGTTGACGCAGGTGAGGGAACTCCGGCTGCTGCAATTATAAGAGGAATGTTAGGGTAAGCAAAGAGGGAAAATCAAGAAGTTTAAAAACGAGAACATACGCGTGCATTTCTGTGTTGAACAGGGAGATAGGAATAGAAAAAGGGAGAATGATCTCACCAGATTGTGGTTTTCGTTTCTTGTGGGCCGATTTCTTGGTTCTCGCCATTGATGGACGAATAGAGATTGTTTTCTCCAAATATAGGATCAGCTTCCTTCGTCTCTGCAAATGTTTTAATGGAGGGAATGAAATTGTAATACAAAAATCATTTTGGCGGTCGATTTAATTTTGATTAGCGAGAAGAGACCTCCCCAAACGGCTAGGTTCTGGTTCAGCAGTGCCGACCGAACTCGGTTCAAACGTTGTACTTGTACGCTTTTTCCATGCGCGGACCTGAACGATGCCGTTTCTGTCATTTTTTAATTTCGCCCCTGCGTTTTTTTTTTTTTTTTTCTTTTCTTTTTAATGGAGAAGAAGTTCGTGGATTATATCTTAAATCTTAAAAAAAAAAAAAAAAAAAAAAAAAAGATATGAGATATGCTTAGGATAAATAAATTAATTTTTTAACTATTTATTTAAAAATAAATTAATTTTTTTGGACAAAGGAAGCATTGAACTCTGAATTTTTAACCACCAAATTTACGATAAAAACATTATAACATAAAATTAAATACCCTTTAAAAAATAATTTTAATTTAAATATTATAAAAGTTAAACACATAATAAATTTTATCTGAGATCCAGATGTCCAACTTAAATTTTATGAAAATGTTTTGTTCAAATATGATTGCATGAATTTTTAAAAAAATTAATTTAATTTGAAATTATTATCATTCTTATTATATATAAATTTTGTATATATTAGATAGTAAAAGAATTAATTTCTTTCTAATATAATTAGAATTTAATTATTTGATAATAGATTATTTATATAAAAATTATTAAAAATATATCCTCAAAATTAAACTATAAACCCAACTTAAGACATCAACACTTAGGTGATATTGATGTTTTTGTAAAATAAAACAAAAAAACTATCAAATTGAAATTTAAAAAAATAATGTGTTTGGTGACATAAATTTAGACAAAACATCACAATGCATAATAAAATATTATTACTTATTTTTTTAGGGTTGGAAAAACTCCTTTTTCACTATTCTGAAATAATAATATTGTTTCAATCTTTAATACTCTTTGATATTTTCAGTTTTTATTCTTTTAGCACCATTAAAAAAAAAAAGAAAAAAAAAAACTCCCTTATTCTGTTTAATGCTATTATTCCATCTACTAAAACAATAGCTTAACTCTGGCTATTCATCAAATGATAGATACAAATATTGTAATGATGTGCTTACTGCATCTACTCCTTTTAGAATTTATGTAAATCTGCTTGGAAAGAATTGAAAAAGAAAAACATCTTAAAATTTATGAACATCTGCTCTATCCAAATCCAGTACACAATCATGTCTTACAGATACCGAAGAAAACCACTTTTAGCACTACAAAATACAACTACTACAACATAAAAAGCATCAAGAAGATGGTTTTGCAGACTAAATCATCTGTTATTGTAAGACTCTTAGCTTTTTCAATCCAAAGCTCCTGTTCAACTTTGACAGATTCATTTCACGATCAGCAGAACTCGGGAGAAATATTTAGGATTTCCTGATTGATTAGTTTTCCTTTAGAACTCTATGGCTGGGCTGGAGTAGGGGAAGATGGAGGTTTGAAGTCTGGATACTGCAATCAGAAAATGCACCACCAGATAAGGTTAATATTGTAAGACTGCAAAGAACAAGAGGTAAAAGCAGACTCTGGAATGCTACCAATCTACCCCCTAGACATCTTTGAGAGATAAAATAAGTGTGGATGTAGAGGAGGACATAGAGAATTACATATGGATATGGTGAAAGCGGTCTTGATGATCTAGGAGGTGATGCTGCTTTAGCTTCCGTATTGGTCGCTGAATTTACTTGGGGAAGAGATTCTAGTGAGGATTCTGATTTTATCTCTGCCGTCAACTTCGGAGCAGCTTCAATTTTTTGTGCAGTAGCCTCAGAGCTGGTGGTAGTAGATTCTGAGCTCGCCTCTGCAGGTGCAGGAAGAGCCTTGCCAGTGGTTGAAGGTAGAAAAGCCTTTCCAATATCCTGTACTTGGAGAAATTATGAGGATATGGAATAATTTTACAAAAATATACAATTAATAATACATGACCCACTAATTAGTGTTTGTTGTTGTCATGGAAATGTACACGCTAAGCTCAAGAATCTACCTAATAAATGAGAGGGAGTAAAAGGAATGTCGTATAACTAACAGATTGAAGAATTTATAATCAATTTTGTGAAGATCTTATTCATCTGTATTATTTAATAATAATCAACAGCATTTAAATTTTCATCAACAAGCTGAAATTTTCTCGAGAAGAAACATAGCGAATTGCCTCACCAGATCAAGAAAATTATCAGAAATTTGCTTAAAGTAAAAGTACCTTTATTTCATCAACAAGCTCTTTTGGGGCAATCTTGGTGTTCAAGAATTCATCAAAATTGTTGCAGCATTTGTTTGCGGTCCTACCATGCATAAATGTTGGACAGTAAGTAAATTTGAAACCTTTTACATTCTAAAATCTGTAATCAATTCCATCATCATCACGAGTAATGTGTTATACAAAGCAGATTAAGCCCAATAGGTATCTAATAGGACCCATTTGTTAGAACAAACATGACCAACCGAATGAGTGCAAAAAGAGAAGATTGTCCAAGCTTACCTCTGCAAAAAGGAGTTTCTTGCTCACAAACTGAATTATAGCAGCTGAACCTAATAGTTGGAGTACTGTTTCTATCTGTGAAACGCAGAAAAAAATAATGAGTAGTTAATCTGGCATTCAACCAAAAAGGATAAAGACAAAGTAAAAAGAGAAATGAACATAAGTGCAAAATATTCAACTAGCCAACCTCGGTATATGCAAGGAAACCTAATCCAGTAGCTGCAGCAAGTCCAACGGTAACAGATACGCCATCAAAAGTCTCCTGTGCATTGATCTCCACAATTAACTATAGAAGTGCTCATAACAAAACTTGAAGGAGTGAAACTTCTCAATGATTAAGTCTAGATTCAACAATCTATTCTGCTCCCAGATAATTTTCAAACAGGACTTCAATAAAACTTTTACAATTGTCCCATCAAAGTTATTTCTTACATAAATTGTTAAGTCCAATACTGAGCATATTATCCAAAAAAAAGGGTGTATGGCCACTGCATTGTTGTGGCTCCAGTAAATTAGTCAAAAAGGAGACAAGCTTGTTACTTCATTCAACTTTTACATAAAGCACACACTTCTCGGACCATCCTTCAGTGACATGATTGTTTATGAAGATACAAAAAGCTGAAGTCAATAATAATCTAGCCCTAATTTGAAACAATCATTTCCGTTGACACACATTTTGAACACCTATAGATGAAGACCCATAGAAAGGCTTTGCGTCCATTTTTCTTCACTTTCACTAAACTAACACAACAATGTCTATCACGTTTATAAAAAATTCTTCGAACCTACCAAAGTCTAGACCATGCAGGCTGTTTACTTTAACCTTCTTCAATCATTTTTTGTTGCCAAATGCCCATAACATTTTGCAGAGTAGTCATTTTCCCTTAGCATTTTGACGATACAATCCACAATGCATGATTTATTGTTTACTATTTTTCTCATACTCTGATGCTCATCATTTTCAACATATTCATTTCTCCCTATTAACATAATGCAGCATTTTCTGGGCCCAAGCATCCAGAACCAGGGTTTACTCAGACAATCACAGAAATGGAATGCAGCATATGTTGACACATGAAACCATATATTGTTGTTGGGATAGAGGAGGATAAATTAGATTTCAACTTTCAAAAGAGAGCCTAGGTTTGACAGCTGATATTATCAAATTTTACAGTGCCTAACAATAGATTGAGAGAAAAAAATGGCAGGGAAAGACATACTGCAAATGCTTCTGTTAAGCTGCTCAGATCAAGACTTGGTCCTTTCTTTGGAGGTATCCATGGGAGACCACTATTCTGAAAAATTACAATATATCAAGTTCTTAATTGAAAAAGACCTCAAATGTTATCTAACTCTGGATGCAAAAAATTGAATAGATAACAGAAGATGAGAAAAGCAAGTACCATCCATCCCCGAGGTCCTTCTGCACCATCTTTTATTGCATAAGCTGCTTTAAATCCATTTATGGTGACCAACTCCGCAACCAGTTCAGAGTTTCCATCATATCTGGCTTTCATCACAAACTTCCCAAACATTAGCTTTTGAAATGATGACCCAAATATTAGATATACTGGATTCATTTGCCTTTGTGTATATATATATATATATATACACACCAAGCAATTAGCCTATCATTGGCTCCATAAAAACCAACTTGAATTTCACCAATGCAAATTAGGAAGTGATTTAAAGCAGCAACCATCTTCAACTTCTAAAAGTCCATTTAATCTTAGAAGTGTAGATAGATTTTTCCAGGTTTTGTAAAGAACAATATTACCATTGGGAGTAAGAAGAGACCTTGCAAAATTTTCTCTTGAAATTACTATTCTGATGATCTAAACTATGAGATTACAGGATTTAAAAAAACAAAAAAAAAAAAAACAAGAGTAATTTGGCAGAAAAGTGATTGCAGAGTCCAGAATCTTACTTGTCAAGAACGAACAATGTGGTGTTCTCTGGTTCTTTGAACTTCAAAGACAGTTTCTTCAAAAACCCAGGCTTGTCTTCACCTTTATAAACAATGGAAATTGCCTTCTTTCTCAAACCCCTAACATCTGGACTACCCACTTGCCTAGCCTCAACTGGGGCTCTTATATCAAGCAACTGAGCGCTTGAATCATCTCCTAATTTTGCATAACATTCTTTGCAGACTCTACCCCCCATGGTTTAGGCTTCTTCAGCACCTGAGACAAAACCAAAGGCACTGCCAAAATGGTGGCACCACCTGCTATTATCAAAGGATTCCCAGTCCCAAAACTGACTACACTATCAACCACCCCGCCTACATCAAAATCAAGTGCGGTAGACCCGGCAGACTGCTGCAGTGCTTCCTCATATGTTAAAGCATGTGCAAGCCCTGTACAGAGAACTGAAGATAGCAGCACCAGACTACCATTAACACTTCTTGATATGCATTCTCGGAGAGCTGGTTTTGAGAATTTAAGTGGGGAAGAAATGGGAAGTAAAGTAGTCTTTCTAGGTTCGTTTCTTGTTTCAGAAAGAACTGATAAAGGGGTCAAGCTTGCTGCTGCATTGAGGGCCTCCATGGCATAATTTTAGGCTGCAAAGTGTCCTTTGGCTCTCAATCAATATACGAGCAAGCTTGGAATCAGTCAGTAATCACCATGGGAAAGGAAAGGCTTTGTTGCATATTATATTTCTTCTATAGAATTTGATTGTATGGTGAACGAGTAGAAGGATGATGCCAAAGCAAAGGCCGAGCTAGCTTTGGTGGGTGCAATTTGGCTAGCATGCTTTGAGTGGGAAGAGGTGCTGACGTGGAGTGGGAGATGAGACGTTTACCATTCATAAGACGACACGTGGCGAAAAAGGATTACAGGTTGGTCATGTTTGCGTCTCGCTTGAGGACTTTGATCGGGGTTTCATGTGATTGTGTGGCCGAGAAATGTCGGGAAGAATTTTGTTTTTTTGAAAAGAACTTGTACAGTTCATAGTACAGCCATACTGTATGAAACTACAGTACAAGTGTACAATCATTAACCAGAGCCTTCATTTTTGCTTCCCATGAGTTAATGGATTTTTCTTTCATTTAATGATTATTATTTTATTCTAGCTTTGAATTATGATTTGATTACATGCAATGAATTTTTCGATAAAGTAATATATAAAACATGATTAAATGAATTGTAAGCATGATAAGATTTCAGCATGTGGCAACGGATTATCAAATACCTTCACATTTTATTTTTATGTTAGATGATTGATTGCTTCTTAACTTAAATTAATTCTTTGAATTTTTTAATGTATATTGTATATAGTGTGTTTCTAGAAATCGCTAATGTTCATATTATTTTACTTTCACATATTTATTTTATTTAGGATAAATTACAATTTTACTTTTTTTAGTTTAATATAATTGCAGTTTAGTTTTCATATTTTTTTATGATAATTCAGTACCATGAAGTTTGATTTTTTGTTATTTTATATAAATTTATTACCTTTAGAATATATCCATACTTTAAGATAACAATTTATAAAATTTTAAATCTAAACAAACCAAAATTATGAGAAAATAAAAAATTATAAGACGATAATGTAAATGAATTTAATTCAAATCTTAATATAATAAGATAATAATGAAAATATGATAAAAATTTAAATGAAATATTATTTATTTAAAGTTAATTTTATATTCAATTAGTTGTTTTTATTATTTATTTTTGGAGAAGTGAAAAATACTTAATAGTTATGATCAAGACTTAAGATTATAAAATTAATAAAAAAAAATATTTAATAGTATTGTGCCAATATTACTACTATCCAGTATGCTTGGAATCCGAAATTTCATAAGAAAACTAAACATATTAAGAGACATTATCACTATTAAAGATACAAATAAATATATTCGATTGTTCATCCAATATGTAAAATATGATTAATGTTTACATATTTAATTACTTCAAATTTGAAAAGACTTATAATTAAATTAGAAAATTATTTAAAAAAATATCATTTATCTTCTCTCTAATCTAGTGATATTTTATTCTCAAATTTATTTTAAACAACACTACTACCTGGTGAAGCCCATCCAATACGCTATTTATTAAAGGGATTAGAAACTAATTCTTTTAAGCCTTATTTGAATTATGGTTCAATAATGATTGTATGATTTTTTTTCTGCTTGTTTGCATTTTTAAATACATGATATATTTTTTTGGTGTTTGAGTTATGGTTTTCAAAATCAAAATTTTCTCTATTTTTTCAAACTATAGATTCAGTAATTTTATGATGGTTTAATAATTTTTTTCTTTTATATCCTCAATATTTTTTATTATTTACAACATTACCTTTCTCTTTAATTTCTTCTACCCGACACTTCTTCTTCTTTTCAAAATATTGTATATATATATTTAATTATATATATATTGTAATACCTGGACTCATAATTTGGCTCGGGATAAAATTTTCTCTTTTACAAAATATATATAAATAATTAAAAAATTATTTTAATTTAAATTTTATTAATTTTTGAGAAAAATAAATTAGAGACAAAATTAAAAGTAATTTTAAAGAAAATGGGTAAAATTTGAATAAATGGAATATTTTTGAAAGAAAATTTAAAAATAAGAAGTAAAATAATAAAAAAAAATATGGTCACGTGAGACAATCACGTCA